ATTATCGGAGCGTTTGCGAGTTCCATTTCCATCACATATGTCCGGTTGTATTAGTTTGAATACGAGTACAATGATTATTATAATTAGCTCACAAGCGTACAGAAAAAATGTTACAAGAGAATTTGTTAGTAGCGTTAGATTCGTGATTAATGTTATGGTGTATGAACGCTCCATATTTTCTCAGCTGTTGAAGTCCCGTTGAAGTTGAAGTCTATATTGTTCAGCATGTTCGAAAACATCTTGCAAAATTTGACTAGTATTGCTCCATAAAGAAAGTTGAAATTTGAGTGTGAATTTAATGCATCACCATGTGATGCACTCGGTACGCAATCTGTTAAGCACGCTTAACAAGCTTATTGGGCGGCAGTTGCGAAGATCATCCCGGACTCCTTTCTTGTAAAGAATAACCATCCGCGAGTTCCTCCACTGGTTGGGGATCTCCTTCTGTAGGTAAGATGTCATGCACAGTAACGCTCAAAAGTATTCGGCCAAATGCTTATCCACTCGTAATTTCCGTCATAGGATCTTTCCTATTGGATTTAATCATGCGAAATTTCAATATGTGTAGCATGGACGTACTGTGATTTACCACCGGTCGGGCCGCCCGGCTCACGCCGGACTTCCCTTTCTTATGATGTCACCCGGCGAAGCCGGGCGATCCTCCTTCCTGTAAGTAGTTTGCTATGCGTAAATAACTCTTCCAATTCTCCTTTTCTTTTGGAAGCACTACACCCTCAGTATAAGCCCCGAATGGGAAGCGATTTTTTCTGTATTATAATTAAAGTCGGACTGCCCTCCTTCCTTAACAAAGTTGTAGTAATCGGCTAACTCTCCACCTCTTCTTCGGAGCAAATAATATTTTCCTGTAAACGAAGTTTGACACAGGACTAACAGGGCCTTGGCATTCAGTGAAAGTCGGCACTTATGTCTTTAATTGGGAGTCTCGATCCTTTGCTTTCGTTCTTGAAGACAAATACCCAATAAAGATTGAACTATTAGGTAACCAAAGCCTTGGGCGGTACATACAAATATTTCGTGTGATGATAACACCATTATTTCGATCGGCAGGTGGCACTTGCTCTCTTAGGCCCCTTATGTTCTTTTATCAGTTATTATCACCAGATTCTTGTCACCGAGTACCTAGGATCCCGTCACATCCTACACCACTCATTTAAAAGCCGAGGTTCTACTGTTAATACGAAAAGCTGTCATCTTACCATATTTGAACTCTCTAGGTCCACAGAAACAGAAGTCACGAATTTCCGCTCAAATCTTTACTCCGCACAAACCTCGCCCTTGTAGGCTGAGACTGGTCCTACCACCTGCCATAAGTGTTCTCATGCTACCCCTGTACTCCTACCAGTTTGAACGCTTTGGGTCCACTGGAACAGGAGTTATGCACTTGCGTCCCAAAACTTCCACCGCGCAGGCTCCGCCCCATGTGGGCGGAGCCCGGTCCTGCCAACTGCCATAAGTGTTCCCATACTGCCCCCTGTACTTCTACCAAGTTTGAGCTTTCTAGGTCCACGGGAACAAGAGTTATGAATTTCCGGTCACACACACATACACACA